ATACTATATTATATATTATAATTATAATATGTTATATTATATTATATTATATTATATTATATTATTACATTTTATATTTATATTATATTTCTAATAATATAATATAGTATAGTTGTAACATTATAATATAAAATAATCACAATATTATTATTTTATTATATTATATATCATTTTATATTATATATTATGATTGCATTATAATAATAATTAATTATATAACTATAATTATAATTATATATATTATATCCTTTTAATTTTATATATATAATATTAGTTATTAAATTATTATATTAATATATATGATATTAATTATATTAATATGAGGGGTAATTTTGTCAACATGAAAATATTGATATCCCATTCTATTGCATTTGTAAAAGTAGAACCAAACAAATAAATCATATTTTCTTTCCATTCTATTCCATTATCATTCCCATTTCCATTCCCCACTGTAACCAAACGCACCCTTATTGTCGTAGGTGGCACCAACTCAATCAAATATTAGAGCCGTAAGTTTAGACCGGGTTAAACAGACTGTTGATTTTATTAAGTTTTTAAATTTTTCTTGTAAAAATTTGAGCCGGTCCTAAGCTCGTCAGACTTTAAAGTCGGGTTGGACTGACTTTTCTCGTTTTAGATCCTGGCCGACCTTACCTGAATATCCCTTTCAAGCCATCGGGCTTGGGCGGAGTGACCTAAATTTTCAACTTTAATATGTATAGTGAGCAATCAACAATGTTATATATCAACGATGGTGTTCACTTGCTAAGTTTGGTACTAATTATTTCTTAAGTCTTGCATATCAATATCTAATTAGCTGGTAAAAGAAAATTCCCGTGGTGGTAGTAGTTAGCATTATTTCATGTTGGACAAATAATGCTTAACTAATAAATACAAATGTGCTTGTTTATTCAAAGACGAGATATTAATCTGCGTTTTGAACCAACATAACCTCACTTCTTTTTCTCATGTTCCAATTAACAATGCAACCTTTCCATGTACCAAGTGGTCTTTCCTTATTTTTCTTAATTGTCCCAAAGGTATAGGGATCAAGGATTTTCTCGTCTTGATGAAAAAGTATATATACTAACATTTTTAGCTAATCAAGTTGATGGTGAAAATAACCGCTGATGCTTAATACATGTCTCAAGAAGAGGTGTTGACTAGGAAAAAAAAAAACAAAAACACTACTACTGATGTTCGACACCAAAAAAAAAAAAAAAAAAAAAAAAAAAACCCTTATATATGAGTATGATGTTGTGAGACACTTTTTTATTAGTATGTGTTGTTGAATATTAGTAGTGTCACCTCAAAGCATAGAGAAAAATGAGATAAGAGTATATGGGTTTAGATTTTTATTAATTATTTTTATAAATATTAATAAAATAATTATATTAGTTAAAAATATATTAATTGAGAATAAAAGATAAAAATTAAAACTAATACATTTTAAGAGTAAGTTTAATAATGTTCTTAAAAAAGGATAAGATGGCGAACCTGCTAAGGTTTAAAAAAGACAATTGGGAACTCAAGACGTTTTTTTCTTTCCTAATTGAGTCGAGGTGTAAACTTCAAATGATAAAATTAAAAAAAAAAAAAAAAAAAAAAAAAAAAGTAAATATGCCATATGATAATTTATACATAAGCTTGGCTATTCAAAAAGCACAGAAAACAAATAATAGGAAAATGCATGACGTAGAGTTGAGAAATGTAGTCAAGTCTAATACTTTAAATAAAAATAGCAATTCAATTCCAAAAAGTTGGCAGCATCAATGCATCATCATCATTATAAAAAACGATTAATGTAACTATGCTCTCTTAGATTTATTCTCAGCTTACTCTTAATATTTTAAAAATTCTTATTTTATTTTTTAAATTTTAAATTGTTCTCATTTAACTTTCTATTGTAATCTCTATCCCTGTTAAAAACATATAGATAGTAATACAGTCACGTAGTTTTTTTATTTAAATTTCAGTTAAAAACAAAAATATAAAACTACATGATCACATTTAACTCTCTTTTTTCGTCTGATTTTAATAAAAATTCTTATAAAAAGACTAAAATGAGATACATTTAAAATTCAAAAATAAAAGTGAGAGTTTTTAAAATTTAAATTCGTATTTAGAATTGATCCCCTTTTTGTTTTTCACATTTTTTGAAAAATAAAAAATAAAAACGTTTTTAAAATGGCGTTTGGCGTAATAAAGATAAAAAAAACAGAAATGAAAATGATTTTTTGATTTAGTATAAAATAAAAGAGAAATAAAAAATAGCTTTTAGTCGTTTTTTTATTTTTTGTTTTCGTTTTCTCCTTTCTCAAGTAGAAAGAGAAAGAGAGACATTAATGAATTTTTTTATACTAAAAATAATCTCTTGATAAAATTTCTAAACGTATTTTTAAAAATAATTTTTATCTAAAATTAAAAAATTTTATTTTTATTTTCATATAAAAAATAAAATCATTTTACCCGTAAAAATGACTAAAGTTTAGGGCCTTGCAACGAGAAAAGGCAAGTGAAACGGCATATGATACGAGGTCGTATGAAATCATACGACAGTGGAAGGAAGACCACTCTTTTTATAGCCAAATTCAGAGAGAGGGAGAGAGAGAGAGAAACAATTTGCGAGTCGCGAGTGACGAGTGCAGCTCTAAAACCCAACTAAACCCCAGCAGAGCTGTAGCACCATCGGCAGTTCATCCCCTCTCTCTCTTCCGCACGAACAAAACAAACAACTGGTGGGTTTTTGTTTTTATTCATTATTATCCATTTTTTGTGTTTAGAAGCTTGATGAAACTGCTGCTCTATATAAACAAGCCGAACATAATTTGGTTTGTTTGCGAAACTAGAAAAAAAAAAATTGGGACTTCTTGTCTCATGATAGGATCGATGTTTTTAAGGATTTGTATATCTTTTATTCAAGGCTATGGAATTTCGAAATTAAGGTGTAGTAATTTCTTTTAAAAACGCGGTGGTGGGTTCAACTAGTTAGAGTTTAATATATATATATGCATATTAGAAAAGTTGTATGAACCCATTTGGTAGTTGAACACAATAGTGGCTAACATATAATTAGGAACTGGTTTATCTGCAATCATTCTTCCTCTTTGAGCGGGTTTTGTGATATTTCCACAAAAACACTTCCATTAGCTTCTTACAACTTGCTTATGTGGAAATGGAAGTCTTGTTACCTGATAAATTTAACCAAGTTCCAACTGTTTTTTATTTTTGTATTTTTATTTTTTATCTTTCTTCGACGCCGATTTGAAAGGCTGAAGTAAGAGTATATCTTACTTTCAATGGATATTCAAAAGAACTCTCTCTTTGCAGTAAGCTGTTTCGGGGCTAAAACCCAATTGCCTAAACCCAATATTGGACATTGTATTTCAAGACAATTTCGCTGATCTTTTCGCATTGCTGTCAAATCTAATTGTATGTTCAGGTACATGCTTTCTCGTTTTCTTTTCTTTCCTTACTCTCTGCTTTGTTTGGTTGCTGAGAAAGGATCCTGATATGAATTTGGAGAGCCAAAGAGTTTATTTCTTTTGGACTCCTTTACCTAAATAAATTCCGAATTTAGACTCTTTGCTGCCTTGGTCTTTATTCTAGTTGGGTAATAGATTGAAAATTCTTGATGATGATGGTTTGGAGAAAAGTAAAATAATGTGATTTGTCTATGCTTTCTTATTTGAGAACTTTCTGGACGTTTTTTTTTTTTTTTTTGTCAGAATTTTAATACCCTGTCGTTTTATAAACTTCAATAGTTTATGATTGTAAATACGATAAAACTCGTCCCTTAAGCTTGGAAATAGAATTTCTTCTCTTGCTATAACATAGTTGCGTCTACGTCAAATTTCCTAGTACTTGAATTCCAACAAGTTAGCTCTAAAAAAACATTATTGTCATATATATGAAATTTTCATTGTCACCTCTTTTGGTTTCTTGTGACATCGGATTCAATTTTTATATTTAAAAGATTTTTCAAATTTGTTGGCTTTTTGATTTCTCAACCACAAAAAATTTCCTAAAAATTCTAGGGTCCTTGCTTGGCTGATGTTTTAATGCTTTGGTTTCAGATTGTTGCCTGCCTGAAAAGGAAGGCTTGTTTCCAAATTTCTATCCCTACTTCAAGCCGATTGGTCATTTGTTTCGGCACTGAAAAATAGATCGCAAGTTCCATCTAACGAGTTTGAAAATGAGAATAGAAAAAATTGATTTTAATCTCCTATTTGTATCCTGCACAAAAGTGCACCTTGCTAAGCGCCTTCATGCCCTTCTTGTGGTGTCGGGGAAAGTCAAAGACATGTTTCTTTCTACCAGGCTTGTTAATCTATATTCTTACTTTGGCGATGTATCATTATCTCGTCGTACTTTTGATCAGCTGCCAGAGAAGGACATCTATACATGGAATTCCATGATATCTGCTTACGTACGCACTTCTCGTTTCCGTGAAGCTTTACATTGTTTTTATCAGCTTTCATCTGCTTCTGGTTTTCAACCTAATTTCTACACTTTTCCTCCTGTCTTGAAAGCTTGTGGAAATCTGGTTGATGGGAAGAAGATACATTGTCAGGTTCTGAAGTTGGGTTGTCAATGGGATATTTATGTTGCTGCATCCTTGATCCATATGTATTCACGGTTCGGATTTGTTGGTATTGCACGTAAATTGTTCAATGAAATGCCAATAAGAGATACAGGTTCTTGGAATTCAATGATTTCTGGATTTTGTCAAAATGGGAATGTTAAAGAAGCGTTAGATGTCATGAATGAAATGAGGTTGGAGGGGGAAAATATGGATCCAGTAACTGTTGCAAGTCTGCTTACTGTTTGTGCTCAATCGGGTGACATATTAAATGGAATGCTTATCCATTTGTATGCCATTAAGCAAGGGTTGGAACTTGATTTATTTGTATCCAATGCGTTGATTAACATGTATGCCAAATTCGGTTGGTTGGCCAATGCTCGAAGGGTCTTTGATCAAATGGTTGTAAGAGATTTGGTTTCGTGGAACTCAATAATTTCTGCATATGAGCAGAATGATGATCCAATAAGTGCACTCAGATTCTACAAAAATATGCAACAAATTGAAATTCAGCCTGATTTGTTAACATTGTTAAGTTTAGCTTCTATTGTGTCTCAATTAGCCGATAGTCGAAAGATTAGGTCTGTTCATGGATTCATTTTAAGGAGAAGTTGGCTTATGCAAGATGTCGCCATTGGAAATGCAGTTGTTGACATGTATGCAAAATTGGGTGGAATAGATTCTGCCCGTATTGTTTTTGAAGGGCTTCCTACCAAAGATGTGGTCTCGTGGAATACTTTGATCACAGGTTATTCTCAAAATGGTCTTGCAAGTGAGGCAATTGAAGTATACAACATAATGGAAGAGCACGAGGCAATAATTCCAAATCAAGGAACATGGGTGAGCCTTCTACCAGCTTATTCTCATCTAGGAGCCCTGCAACAAGGGATGAAAATTCATGGGCGGGTGATAAAAAACTATCTTCATATGGATGTCTTTGTGGGGACTTGCTTGATTGACATGTATGGAAAATGTGGTAGATTAGATGATGCATTGTCGTTGTTCTACCAAGTGCCTCGGAAGAACTCGGTGCCTTGGAATGCCATTATATTCTGTCATGGAATTCATGGACATGGCAAGAAAGCTCTTAAGTTGTTCGAAGAAATGGTAGATAAGGCGGTGAATCTGGATCACATAACGTTTGTATCTTTATTGTCTGCTTGTAGCCATTCAGGCTTGGTCGATGAGGGGAAACATTACTTTCATGTGATGCAGGAAGAATATGGGATTAAGTCGAGTTATAAGCACTATGGCTGCATGGTAGATTTGCTCGGTAGAGCTGGTCATTTAGAGGCAGCATATGATTTTATAAAGAATATGCCCATACAGCCCGATGCTTCTATTTGGGGTGCTCTTCTCGGCGCTTGTAGAATACATGGAAATGTTAAGTTGGGTAAATTTGCTTCAGATCGCTTGTTTGAAGTTGATTCAGAAAATATTGGTTACTATGTCCTGTTATCAAATATTTATGCAAATTTTGGGAAATGGGAAGGTGTTGATAAAGTTAGATCACTAGCTATGGACCGTGGATTAAGGAAGACTCCTGGGTGGAGCTCCATTGAAATCAACAAGAAGGTTGATGTCTTTTATACTGGGAACCAAACCCACCCGAAATACCAGGAGATATGCATAGAGTTAAGGGCTATGACTGCTAAGATGAAAAGCCTCGGTTACATTCCTGACTACAGCTTCGTGTTGCAGGATGTTGAAGAGGATGAGAAGGAGCAAATTCTCACGAGTCATAGTGAGAGATTAGCCATTGCTTTTGGAATTATCAGCACTCCTCCAAAAACTACAATTAGGATTTTCAAGAACTTGAGGGTCTGTGGTGACTGTCACAACGCAACTAAGTACATATCCACAATAAGCGAGAGGGAGATTATTGTGAGGGATTCTAATCGTTTCCATCATTTCAAGGATGGAACTTGCTCTTGTGGGGATTATTGGTGACATTATTTATCAATATAAGCTACTAATGAATTCTCTCTTTTCCATTTGAATTTTTTGTTTTTCGTTTTTTATTTCTGTTGTGTGTCTCAATTACGTTCTCGCATGAGAATCGGACGGAACAAGCACCGTATTTATTGAAAAGAAGTTGGGGTTTTGGCTGTTCATTGGGTCCTTTACTGACTTTTTCTACTTTACTGACCCACTTAAAACATTGCAATTGAAGAAAGCTATGCGTGTAACTTAATTTAAATGACTTTGACTTGGAAATTTTATACATAGATCACAACAAGCATTGTTTTTTAAGTGAAATTGATTCCTTTAGGACTGTAAAGCCTTCAATGGTCTCTGCATATTGTGGAAGATTGTATCCTTTCTTGCACCTCTTCCATGGCCATTATTCTCATGCATTTGAGTATGTGATTTACTTGAAAACAATCATATTTTTCTTTGGCTTGTGTTGCTATGCAGGGAGAGGAAATCTACAGGATGAATCAAGAATTCTAGTGAATGGTTAAGAAACAAGTGGAGTAGTGGAGGTAATAAGTTAAATCCTATGCTTTAAAATTCAGCATTTGCTATATTTTGTGCCCAACAAAATTAAAGAAATTGCAGCAGAAACGGTAGTTTTAGAAAGGGAAAACCTGTCATCTTCACCTTGAATTCAACCCTTTTCTTTATTTCTAGTATCAGACAATTTGCTAACTTATTTATCATCACATACTGAAACTAATGATTTTCATTAAAAAATACTGAAACTAATGATATTCACCTTTTCTTTTTTGATAAGTAATATGCTTTCACCCAATGTCATAAATTATTATTTCTTCCAGATGTTAGTAGATTTGTGATTTTAAAGTTAGCATCTATTTCTTGCTAACTATTGTGCCGTTTACCTGTTTTTGGTGATCCAAATTATTATTATTTTTTTAAAAAAGAAAAACCCTTTTAAGTGATGATTATCAATTACAAGGAGAAAAGGATGAGGTATACTCAAGAAAACAAAAAGGAATAAAACACAAAGAAACAAAGGATCTGGTCCTCCTAGAAAAAACAGACAATTTTCTTCCTAATACATCCATCTAGTTTAGAATTATCAAAGAAAAAGGAATGTCCTTAAACTTCTTATCACTCGAAGCCCAAAGCAAAGCTAAGAATTTAACTTTTTCAAAAATCTTTGTTGCCCCCATATCCTTATCTCAAAAATCAGGAATTTCTCTCCACCCACGTTGTCCATTATAATTTAAGCACCATACATCTTCACAAAACTCTTGCCATTTTATTGGATCCGAATCCCACCATGTCCTCAACCATTAAGGATTGGCATTGTCCTGGGAACACCCAAAGAAAACCTGCGTCCTTTAAAAGTTCCTCCTATAATAATTTAGCTGTTTCACAGTGAAGCAGAAGATGGTCTAGAGACACCCCTTCCTTTTTACATGAAAAGCACCGGTAAGGAGACATAGCAATATGAGGATTTCTCCTCTGAATCAGCACAAGTGTTTAGTCTACCATGAAAAACCAGCCATGCAAAAACTAAAACTCTATAGGGAACACAAGATATCCAAATGATATTAAAAGGCTCAAAGGTAGGAACCTCATCAAGGTTAATGACAATAATGGAAAAATAAAGAATGATTTACTAGAGAATCCCAAAGGATCACCCAACCACACTCTATGATCTGGAAAATGAAAGAGAATTTAAGATCTATGCATTTCCAACTTAATCTTGCCCTTCTTTACTTCAGGTCTTTGGTTTTGCAAACCAAATGAGGAAAAAAAAGGCATAAAAAAATTTCATATTTAAAAGGAATTGGATGCTTAGTAGTTGTAAGAAGAGATGACCTTGTGATACTTTTTCAGATTGCTTATAGATAACTAAACTCGTTTCATATACTTAAGAGTTGTTTTCCAACAGACTTACGCTGACAGTGCAGTAACAATGTTTTCTTGTTCGCTAATTGCAGGAAGGACGTCTTACAATTTTATTGGCAAAAGAAGTTGTAGTTTCAAGATTAAGACGATTCAGCATTATTAATGTTCTACAATAGCATGTTGCGTCGTCACGTCCACGACCTTGTGAAGATTACGAACATACACAATGTCCAGAGTCGATCCCTCTGCAACACAGCAACTGAGTCATACACAGTGACTCCCCCTATCAAGCCATGGCCGCAGCGCCTCTACCCGAAGCGCCTGGTCTCTATCCTCACACGCCAGCAGAACCTTGACCTTGCCCTCCAGATCTTCCGCCATGCCGGTGACTTCCATCCTGGTTTCTCACACAACTATGACACTTACCACACCATAATTCGGCGCCTCTCTCATGCCCATGCTTTTGAAGCTGTTGAGTCCCTCCTATCTGAACTCCACAAGTCCCGCATTAGGTGCGGCGAAGACCTCTTCATTGCGGTTATTCGTAGTTATGGCCTCGCTGGTCGCCCAAAATGGTCCTTGAAAACCTTCCTGCGGATTCAAAACTTTGGTGTGCAGTGCTCAGTCAGGTCCTTGAACTGTTTGTTGAATGCTTTGGTCCAAAACAAGCGCTATGATTTAGTCCGCTGGGTTTTTGAGAACTGCCAGAGCAAGTTTGGGGTGGTGCCCAATGTATTTACGTGTAACATTTTGATTAAAGCGCTTTGCAACAAGAACGACATGGAGGGTGCACGTAGGGTGTTGGATGAAATGCCTGCTATGGGAATGGTCCCCAATGTGGTAACTTACACCACCATTATGGGTGGGCACGTTTCACGGGGTGATATGGTTGGTGCCAAGAGGGTTTTTGGTGAGATTTTGGATAGAGGGTGGCTGCCTGATGCAACTACCTATACCATTTTAATGGATGGGTACGTAAAGATAGGTAGGTTGGCCGATGCTATTAAGGTGATGGATGAGATGGAAGAGAATGGGGTTCTCCCCAATGACGTTACTTATGGGGTTATGATCGAAGCTTATTGTAAAGGCAACAAGTCCGGTGAAGCACTTAATTTGCTCGAGGATATGCTCGAGGGAAAGTACATACCGAGCTCAGCGCTTTGTTGCAAGGTGATTGATGTGTTGTGTCAGCAAGGGAAAGTGGAGGATGCTTGTGAACTCTGGAAGAGACTTTTGAAGAATAATTGTACTCCAGATAACGCCATTTCTAGTACGCTTATATACTGGCTTTGTAAGAAAGGGAAGGTATGGGAAGCAAGGAAGTTATTCGATCAATTTGAGAAGGGTTCAATTCCGAGTATTTTGACTTACAACACACTTATCGCAGGAATGTGTGAGGAGGGAGAATTGTGTGAGGCAGGAAGATTGTGGGACGACATGGTGGAGAAGGGTTGTGCTCCTAATTCTTTTACCTATAATATGCTGATAAAAGGATTTTGTAATACTGGAAAAGCAGAAGAAGGGATTAGAATTCTGGAGGAGATGTTGTGTAAAGGATGTTCGCCTGGCAAGTCTACTTATGGCATGTTGATCGATGGACTGCGCAGAAAGGAAGGAGAAGTGACAAAGGTCCTTTCAGTGGCGATGTCAAGCAGAGAAATTGACAATGATTGCTGGGATATCTTCTTCGCTACGATGATCGGAGATTTGGATACGGGGGCAACCGTTCTTGAAAAAATTCTGTCGGAGAATATTTGATCAAGATTACACCCTCTAATTCTAAAGTATTGCAACAAATTAACTAAGACCCTTTACAGCATTGGGAAAGCAACAAAATTTGGCATAAAATTGTATAGCAAGAACAGTCTCTTGAGTGGATAAATTTTTGTTAGGAAGAAAATGGAAAATGATTAATTAGCCCATCATAAATGGGAAGTAGTTGCCTTAATTCCTGTAGATTGAAAAGGAGGGGAAAAAAAAAAAAGACTTTGGTATTGTCATATGTTTGCCTAGGCAATAAATTAGCTTTGATGTACTTGTGTGATCTTGTGAGTTTACTAGTGTCGCGACAAAACATTCACCACCACACACTTACAAGCTTCTCTCTCTCTCTCTCTCTCTCTCTCCTCCTAACGGCTTCTTCTCCTTTCGTATATATCTCTTGTGTTTACATTGCAATTTTTCTCTACTCCAAAAGCCAACGAGTGGCACATATTAGTCCAAACACCTTTTGTGGATGCTGAGAAAGATAGTTTTGCACTAGTTGGTTGTGTTTCTTGGCCACTTTTTTATTTCCTTCTTTTTTTCCTCAACAATTCATAGGCGATTAATGAGATAAAAGGACTTAGTTAGTTTGAGAAAAACGCAAAAAATATGGCAATGATGCTCGGAGGCCATGGAAGGAGTACTATCGGAGCTTCGAGCTTAATCCCGTCGACGTCGTCTTCTTCCTCTCATTTGACTCATCAAAATGCCAAGCCCACTTCCCTAGTACGTACCCTCACCAATCCATTTGATCATCTCCTTAATTAAATTTTCCTCTACAAATTTCTACTAATTAGAATCTTATTATGATTTTGTTTTCCTTTCAATTTAGCAATTAGATTCATTTTTATTTTTTTTTCGAAATGTATGCAGCAGAAGCAGAATATAGTTATTATGAATAAACTAGTAACGCTCCGCTCAAGTATTAATTATGTTGTTGCCTGCTCTGCTGTCCAAGAATCCTCTACATCCACAGGTGATTGATATATGAAAACTTTTCAATTTGCATTGCTTTTTATTTTAATATCTTCAAAACAAAAGAGTTAATTTCATGTATTATTATGAACAGCAGTGGCTGCTGATGCAAATAAGGAAGTTAAAGCAGCCCCAAAACCAAAGCCAAAAGCTCCGGCGAAAGCTCCGGCGAAGCCGCTACCTCAGATGATGGAAGAAGATGTAATCCCTTCCCTCAAATCCATTCTTGAAGCCCAACAAGATCTCACTGATATTCAGCTTTCTTTCCAAGACAACAGGGTCCGTTTTCACCTCATCTAAATAGTTTTATATTATATATATGTGTATATATATATATATATATCTTGGATTGATGAAAAGTAATTGATGAGATTAAAAGTGGTTATACAGTTGGAAGGATCGTTTGTGAAGAAAGGGAATCCATATTCGTTCTGGGCATTCTTCCCGAATGGAGTGTTGACAGGTCCAAAAGGCTTTTCACTGTCGTCGTATGGGTGGGGAGCAAGCACCGTTGAGCCATTTCTCATCGATGAGAAGAAGATTACAGCAAAGCATGTCGTTTTCTGGGTCAAGAAGCGTTTGGCTGCTCAAGGAATCATTCCCGTCTGGGAGGATTAAACTCACTCTCATTCAAGCACGAACATACATTCATTCTACAATATCATCATGATCATATTCTTATCTAGTACAGTATATGTATATTAATAGTTGACCAACCAATGTATCAAGTTTTGATAAACAATATCATGTTTTACTTTACCTTTTCATATATTTGCCTATCGCATCTCAAGCACTTTATTCGATGATTATCGATCGTGAAGTTCATCAAATAATAACAGAACTATGATGAATAAGAAGTTTACAAGAGAAAATAGTACACCTTACGGTACATACTTAGGCCGTTTAGTTTGTTGATTCGAGTTTTTAATTCAAGTTGAAATGTGACTTTATGTGAGAGTTTTTTACTGTAATAAAAAAGTTAGATGTGACTGTTTCTTAAAGATTTTTATTGTAGCAAAACTCAAATTTTAAACTCAAATCGGTAAAATAAACGGAGATTTCGTCAATTATTTTATCAAGCCTGTAAGGTAAGACTAACTCGCGTGGTCATCCAATGCCAATTCTTCGAGACAACGAAGGTGTTCAGTGCCAAGAGGAACTCTGCTTAGATCCATATGCATCCACAAGTTTTGAGCTTCTCATGCTGGCATCACTCCTGTGGTTATCACGATCTCATTTAAACGGGAGAAGTTGAAGAAGAGAAGTGTTTTGAGCTTCGCGAATGCCATTAAAACGCGGAGATGAATTTTGTTGTATGCATTAGTGGGTCAGAAGGAAGTCTTCTGTTAGTCTTGACCAATGCATGGTTGCATATATGTGATGCTCAAAACAGAACCGATCCAACTTGGTATTCTTTGCAATTTTCTTCCAAGAGAAACAAGGGCAAGCCAAAATGTAACAACTTATCTGGAAAAAAAAAAAAAAAATTTAATGGAAAAATATTTCTTGTTGTTTGATTAGAATAAATTCTATGTTACACATCAACATTTGAATGCTACACATGTGTGAGCTATAATTATTACACCTCAAAGTTTACATGATACACTGGTAGGATCAATCCAACTAAAATGATGCCACCTGGACCTGAACTTAAATTTGGTGACACCATCTTTATCAATGAAAGCAATGGAACAATTCTTTTTGAATCTAAAGTTTCTAGGGTTATTTTTATTTTATACCGTGTATATTAAACCTAAAAATTACTATTCACGACCATTAAAAAAATCACTATTCAACAAGTAAATGACCTTGTTTTTTTCGCAATTCAAATTATATTACTATAATTTAAATTCAACTTTTTTGTTATAATATTTTTCTCTCATATACACAACTTAAATTCTTAATTTAGAACTTGAGTTGTGAAATAAATATACGAATTTTAAAAACTTTAGAAAAGTTTTTCATTAATTACAAAAATACAATATGACAAATAGTAATAACTCAATGTCACAAAATCTCAATGACGCAAAAGCCATTATTTGGCAATACAATCAACTATTATGCACTACAAAGAAGACCTAGATATCAACTGATAAAATCAAGTCACAAAACATAACGATTCGCCAATATAATTATTACCGCCAATCTTTAAAGAGGAAATTGGTTCACCTATCAACTTCAAATTACAAAGGATTCTTTAAAAAAAAAAAAAAGGGGATAAAAATAAGGGAAAGTCTATGGTAGGGGGCAGTGATTTCCCCTACTAGTAGGGTGAGAATCATCAACCATCAGATCATTTTTGAATGGTTCAGATTAAAATGATGTATCAAACAGTTATGAAATAGATTACACCTTTTATCAGTGAAAAAAAAAACTGCGTTTGGAATAGGGATTCGTTCCCTGATTCGAATCATGATTCGTGGTTCGTTACAGTATTTTCTCTCAAAAAAAATACACGTAAATCGAAAATAGTTCGAATCACATGATTTGAATCCTCCAACCAAACGAACCCTAAAAATCCTATCTAAATCTGACTGTGAACCCCGAAAGTTGGCCGATTCGACTACCACCCCTGGCAACTCTCCTCCTCCTCCACCGAAAGACAATCGATCGTTTCTTTCAATTCTTTTGAGGAATCTGGTGGGTATTTCTCAGACAAAAGAAAACCGAGCAAAGAAATGGTTCATCCTCAACACAAAATCAATAGTTGTTGTCGGGATTTGAAACGTATACACAAAGAAAGCAAAATAAAGAAACGACTACCTGTTGATTATTCAAATACTACTCTCACATATATAAGTTTTACATTATATTTTGCCAAATGGATTTGGGCATATGAATTTTTAAGACACGTTTTGATATGTACAAATTCTTTCTCCTTATCAAAAAAACAAGATAAATCCATACAAATTATAAACAGATGAAGCAATCTTTCTCCACCCTAAGCAAAAAAAATAGATAGAAAAAAAAAGTAAAACATATCCTCGTGAATGTGCCTGAAGTCTTCCCTTTGAAAAGAAAATACAAAATGATTAAGGAAAGAGCAAATACCCTTATTAATTGGAGTTGTCCATCTTCACCACAATCATATAGCTTTTCCATTAGAAAAGAGCTTCATCGTTTGCCCTAACCGACTTCAAGATAATAGCGTCTTCTGGTGATTTGGCCTTTGCCGTTTGCCTAATCCGGCGGTGTAGGGATGACGGTGCAGCTGTGGTGGCCAATCCAACAGAGGTCGCCATCAGACCTCCTCAAGAGTCGAATCACCTGCGATCAGATCTCTACTGAGTAGTTGTACTTCTGTGTGACTAAATGAGGAGGATTTAACAGAGTAATAGTGTGCTAAAAATGATTCAACGACACTCGTTATTTATGTGATATGTGTTATTTCTGTAAAAAAAATCTTAATATAAAGAACTTTTTTTTATTAGTTTTTACATTTCACATAACATTTTCCACCAAAACTTTAGTTGAGGGGGAAAATTTGTAAGAATTGTTGAAGTTCAAGGGGAAAAAAAAGCTAAAATTAAAATTCATGAGGCATTTTGTAACAAGGTCTATAATTCAAGGAAAAAACGTGTAATTTATCCTCATTTATTTTTCGTTTTAAAAGTTACTTTGTTGTGCTAGCAATGAGTTACTTTACTAGATTACTGGTAATTCTTTTGTTTTTAAGAGCATAATGGTCTTTGTATATTTAATTCCAAAATACACTAAAAAGACAACATATTGTAATTAAAACCCCAAATTGAATAATAGAGTTGTAGGCCTTGTTCGTTTCGCAGATTTAAGGCCTCGTTCGCTTTGTGGATTTGAGTTTTGAATTCGAACTGAGATGTGACATTTTCTAAGAGCTTTTAACTGTAACAAAAAAAGTTAAATGTGACATTTTCTAAGTGCTTTTTACTGCAGAAACTTAAAATTGAAAACTCGAATCGGTGAAATGAACGAGGCCTAAGTTTTCAATTCGAGTTGAGATGTGATATTTTTTGAGAGCTTTTAATTGTAACAGAAAAAGTTAGATGTGACATTTTCTAAGAGCTTTTAACTGTAGAAACTTAAAACTGAAAACTTTAATCGGTGAAATGAACGAGGCCGTAGTTTAAAAAAATACATGAAACTTTCTCTGGTGTTTTATGCTTCTCAGCCATTAGATATGTATTAAATCTGATTAAAAGTTAAATCAAATTAAAAAAAGTAATAAAAATCGATGACTGATAAGCAAAAAAACACTGATGTTCTAAAAAAAAGTACACTAGAAAAATTCCTAAAATAAAGGGTAAATTTTTAAGTAATTAAGGCCTCATTCATTTTGTTGATTCAAGTTTAGTTACAGTAAAAAACTCTCATAAATAATTATATTTAATTTTTTTACTGCATTAAAAAATGTTTATATAAAATCACATTTTAATTCAAATTAAAAATTTAAATCAGCAAACAAAACGGATCCTCAAACTCCGTAGGGAATCAAATAATTCCTGAATCCGAGTATTGTACTAAGGTACAGTAAGAATATTACAAAACTAGACCATAAACTATTCGGAAAAAAATAATAAAAATAAAATAAAACAGTGGTAAAAGTTAGCTTCACTGATTTAAAAAGGGAATTAAAAAAAGAGGTTAGTGCCTTGCTTAGTGGGGGTGCGTCAGATTTATGGTCAGACAGATCTTAAGGCTCAGACAACGGTCCTTTGCCTGCCCGTTGTCCAATGCCCGCCTCTTCTTCACAATTTGAATTCTTCTTCTTCTCTTAAATCCCCAAAATCAAACGGCTCTCTTATCACTTTGTATTACTACCATTTTGAAATGTTCCTCGGTCATCGCACAAACTAATCTCTCTCTCTCTCTCTCGCCTTATCCGTTATAATTCAAAATCCCACTTTCTTAGCCATTCCTTTTTGAGTTTTTCTCCTTTCTTACTATATGCGCTGAGAATCTTGAGTTCTCGCCTCTTTAGACGTTTTTTCTTCCTTTCCGGTCTCTCAAGTCATTTCTTTCTCTTGTAGCCGTTTAGTTAAGTCAATGGGTACTTGTCTAAGCAAAAAGAAACTCTCTCCTCCTCCTCCTCCTTCTTCTTCGTCTGTTAATAATAAAAATGCCGTGTTGAATCACTCGGCACAAGCAAGTGTGGTAGCAGTACCAGCACCAGTAGATCCCAACACTTCAAACAGATCCAAAAACGACATCCAACAAAAAAACCAGATTCAAGAAGAAGAAGAAGAAAAAAAAGAAGAAAAAGAAGAGCCACCTACCCAGCAGGTGAAGAAAGAGATCTTCCTCATCAAACATCGCAAAAGCCATGACGACAGAGACCACCGAAACTCCGCCAAAAACCCACTTGAAGACTCTGAATCTGCTCCTGCACCTGCTGCTGTTGTGAGGACTTCCAGCTGCACCAAAGAGGAGGTGGACGCCATTCTCATCCAGTGCGGGAGGCTCAGCCGCAGCTCTTCCGGTAAAGCCGCTTCCTCCTCCTCGGCTTCTCGCTCCCGAAAGTACTCCGGATCCAAGAGGAGCTACGATTTCGACAACAACCTTGTCGATGACGATAATGACGGCATCGTAAATGACGAAGGAGCGGCGACGGTGGAGGAGAAGCGCCCCCGAGAGAGGCAGCGCAGCCACCGGCGTTCGTCGCCGAGGGGCTCGCCTTCTCCTCAAGACAGCAGCCAGAACCAGCAGCAGCGCTCTTCCAGCCGAGAAAGGCGGGTCAGCCGATCTCCTGGAAGGCGCTGCTCGGCGGAGACTGCTGCGCCGTCTAGTGGTAATGCTAATAGGCCAGGAAAGATGGTTTCGGTCCCAGCCACGGTTTCGTCATCTTTGGTGATGGACAAGAGCAACAACATGGACTCCGCTGCCAATGCCAATAGCATCAAGAGAATTTCGGTGAAAAGAAATGTGGGGGAGGCAGGCTCAAGGGGTGCGGCGTCTCCGCGTTCTCAGTCGCCAGCAAGAGGAGGCAATGGAAATGCTAAATCCTCCAATGAGCCACAAGCGCAGCCATCGCTTAGCCGCAACTCGTCGAGAAAGGCAGAGCAGTCGCCATATCGAAGGAATCCACTGAGTGAGATTGATCCCAACTCCTTGTCGTATCCAAACCCTCACAACAACAATGGTAACAATGGCAGGGCACAATCCAAAAGCAAAAGAGAGACTTGTGTTCCTGAGGAAGATGAAAACATCCTTGTCAAGGAACTCCCAACTCAGGTAACTTTATTTAACCTTTCTGCTCTCTCCAATTTACTATTTTGTTAAGACTGACTTTTGGTGGGTACTCAAATGAGATGTGTGATTCTGAAATGGTAAGAGAATTCGGAAAAAGAAAATTGTAAAGTAATGAAATTGTGGATCTATTTAAGAACGTTGACATATCAATCATTTCTAAGTGATAAGAGTTTATTAGTTGGGTTTGTTGAGTGGCATCTCCACAATGATATGAAGATGAAATGTTGAGAAATGAAAACCTACTTTTACTAGTCAACTTGTTTTTCTTTCTTTTTTTTTCAGCGCTACTAATTTTTATATTAGATGTCTGAACTTTTCTCTGCAAATACTAATAATGATTTTACAATATGGTAATTGAATTCATTCAACCTGCAGGCTCAGAAACCGAATGCGGAGACTAATTATAGAAGCAACGGCAGAGTTTCCGCAGAGAACAAGAACTCACAACCAAAGCAAGCAATGGTAGAGACAACTGTGGTGATCTCTGGTGCTGATAACAAACCACAACAAACATTGACAAGAAGCAGGTCCTCTAGGCGATCCCGAGACCTCGACATCAACCCTGAAACTCTACTGAATCCGAATCCTACACCATCTTATACTAGACTACTTCTTGAGGACATCCAGAACTTCCACCAGAAGAACAACAACGCCACTACCGCAGTGGTGTCCCTCCCGCCGTGCGTTAGCAAGGCCTGCTCCATCCTCGAAGCTGTGGCAGACCTCAACTCCGCAACGGGTTCCAACCTGTCCTGCTCCGCCTTTTCGGAAGATCAATTTAACAAGGGAACCAATAACGCCTACAGTTCTCTGTTGGGACCTGCTAAAGAGCCTTTTGTGGAGTCGGAAGTGATTGTTGGCAGCGATGACTTGACGGAGCCGAGTTTCCACAAGTATGTGACGGTGAGAAGAGGTGGGGGCAGCGGTGGACTAGTAGTGGATGCAGAGGACCAAGAATCCTCAGGAAGCAACAGCATTGCAGGTGGCAGCCAGATACAGAACTGGGTGTTATCATCCTCTTCATGGGAACCTAATTCGGCAGATTCAACGGATTGTTCGACTTCAAGGTCGAACAATAGAGAGGAAGAGAGTTTAAGTGGAAGGATGAGCGATTCTCACGCAGTTCAGCCGCAGCGTAATAAAGGGATTGGGCGGGGCAGGCTTGGCTCCGCCAAAGGGCTTCACGCAGTTCCTGTAGTTGCAGCAGCTGCATCAACGTAGTACTAATAGTGCTCGTAGTTCTCAGTTTGCTAAATTTACTAGTGCTTGTTTTCTAGTTTGATTCTTCTTCTTTTGGCTTTTTAGAGAAAACACTCCTGTGTGTTGTTGTTGGCTTCTTGCAAACTTGCAACAACCATTTTTAAATCAAAAGCCATTTGATTTGACCTTGGTGTTTCACATTTGCTTTTCCAGACTGGCTTGGTAACTTATGAAATGTCTAAGAACGAAATAAAACTTGCATTTAAGCGTGTAACACATATCCAACCATCTCACGAGCTTTTGACAAATATGCCCCTTCCTTATAAAGATTGTAATGACAACTTAAGAAGCTTTTTAGTCCTTTCAAAAATTCTAAGAGATACAAATATAATCATTTACAACCAAAACTACTACCTATACTTATAAGCTCAAGATTCATTTGAGCATAGTATGTCACAGAGAAACTAATAACACCTTCTAAAGATTTTTGCCATGGAAACCGCCAATTGTTGTTAGGCTTGAAGATGACCATATACGATTGGATCAGTAGATGCATAATACGAATCTCCAATTGGCTTGCATCTATGCAAACCGAATCTGCAGTCAAGCCGATGAGTGATCCAACCAGCTTCCATATTCTTCTGTTCTCTGCTAAATGCATTTCTATGGACTATATTCATATAGTATTATTCCACACTACTCCTGTAGTTCACCATGTATATTGCAATCACAGTGATAACGGCGCCAGTCAATTGCAACGGTGAGAAAGTCTCACCAAAATATAAGAACCTGTAATACAAATGAGGAACAAACATCCATCAGTAACTTTCTCATGTCCATGATAAACTTATTGTATTCCTCAATTATGATCATAATACACAAGTCTTAAGAAGTCAGCGGTAACAAAATCAGCTCATTAATATAGGTAATTTTTTGTGGTTGAGCGAGCAGAGCTTACCCAAATACTGAAGCAAACATTGGGGTTAGAAATGTAAGGGAGCTGAGCTTAGTCAGGCTGCCTGAAATGCAAGAGAAAGGAAAATTCAGAAACCAATATGGGCAATGAGAGAAAATTAGCATTACGAGAGAAACCCAACACTAATATGAAAGATGAAAACAAGACCTTTAGTTGCACTGTAGAAATATACACCATAGCTAATGGCACTTCCAAAAATAGAGGTATACAAAAGCGCCAGCAAATCGCTTGTCGTAAAATCACCAAGATTCCCGCTAACAGCATTATCATGATTAAGAATGGAAACACCAAGGAGAGGCAAACCACCAAGAACCATATGCTGCAACCCCAAAAAAAAAAAAGAAGAAGCTTGCATTAGTCTTCCCAAAGTTCTTTCTTAAACCAGATGTCGGATGTAACTTGCACTACCGTTTTATGAAATGATCAACAACTATGGTCCAAGATAAAGTCTGATAGACAACAAATACGTTAAAAAGTTTTGATGATAACAAGTAAGATACCCATCCAGTTGCCATGACAGGATCAGAGTACTTAGACACCCAGCGAACCATGACGGTGCCAACAGCCATGCTCTGAGCTGCAAGAAGCATCCACCACTCTCCGCTTCCCCATAATGAAAAGTTACTTTCATCGAGATTAAGTGCAGGTGCCTGCAGATAAAACCAACACGTTTGAAAAACTATTGCTTTCCGAAATGACGGGGAGCCATATATCATGAAACATGTCTAAGAGAACTTGATGTGGCTCCAAATTACAACCATCTAGGGAACCGGCTTTCTACACTTTGGGTGCATGTACCAAACTGCAAAGGAATATACTAGAAAAGATAATGAGATTAGAAAAGAAAGTAATAGAAATGAGGAGTATTGATTCTCTTTCTAGTGTTTACTTATCTATTAGACAGTGTAGTGGAAAGTAAACCAATTCTCTTTTTGGTGTTTACTAAACTCAGGAATAGTAATCTTAGCAATATAAATACTTAAATTTCCTTTTACACAACTATTAAGAGCATATAAGAACATTTGATATCCATCATTTCTATTCACTTTAACAGAAAATTAATATTTAAAAGTGTGGGGAGCTCACCAAACTCTCGTTACAGATTTCATAAGTAAACACAGAATTAGATCGAAAAAGAAATCACTCCCCTTTTGCTCTTTTCCCCTTTCATGCAAAATAAAGACCCCTTTAATCGATTGGTTTAGTCATAAATACGAAATGGAATGAATTTTCAATTTGCTCACTGCTAGTGCTTCATTTATTTCCTACCATGTGAAAAATGAAGATGGGTTTGGCTGAGAAATGGAAGTGAAAAAGAGAATGAAAGGAAGACCTCGAGAAGCAAAAGTCCGAGGACACCAAGCACAAGGCCCGCAGCTCCAACAACACCAATGGATTCCCCAAACAGCAACGCCGCCAGTACAGCCACTGTCAACGGCTGCGAATCAATTATCACCTGCAAATCGATCAATTAAAACTTTGCCAATCAGTTCAATTGCATTGCAAATGGAATCAATTCATGAAACAAAATTGAAATGTATTGAATTGAAGAAACAGACGCTGCCCAAACCGGCGGAGGTCCGCTGGAGGCCCTGAGCGAGAAAGCCCTGAAAGCAGGCGGCGTCGACGAGGGCAAAGAGTGCGATTGAGAGCCACGCGCGGCCTCCGGAGGGGAAGGGACGGCCGCGGGAGGCGGCGAAAGCGATGAGGAGGAGACCGGCAGGGACGAGGCGGAAGGTGGCGACGGCGAAAGGGCCCGCCTTCGGAATGACCTCCTTCATGGCCACCATCGCCGTTCCCCAGAAGAAGAAAGGCGACACCACCACCGCCCATTCCAACCATGACGAATCTGAGAACCATGATTTCGCTTCTTCTGCTTCTTGTTCGACTAGGCACTCCACGTCCAGGCCTGTCCCCACGCAATCAACATTCGAGGATGATAATTCGCCTTCGTCTTGTTCTTCTTCTTCTTCTTCTCCATCGTCTTCTTGTTGTTGTTGGAGTTGAGTAGAAGAAGAAGTGGTACAGTTGAAAATGGAGATTGGGCGTCGTCTTCGTCGTCGACGAGTGGAGACGTTTTCTGGGTAAGAATGGAAAGAGAAATGGGGTTTTGGTTTGTCATTGACGAAATTAAGGATTGGTTTTTTGGGCACATTAGTAGCACATGAAGTAGTAATATACGGAAGCGGAGAGCGGTGGCACCAGGAGGCCGGCGGCGACCACCACAGCCCCAAACTTCTCGCGCCCATTTCTGATTTTCTGATTTTCTCAAGAATTAATTATTATTGTATTATTGAGACTGACACGTCTCCCTCTCTCTCATCTCACAACAATGCTTAGATAAAGCCCATTAAAAATATCTTTCAATATCTTTCATTTTCCCTCAAAAACAAAAAAAAATATATATCTTTCATTTCACTTCAAAATTGAAGCTCAAACACTATTAATTCTACTTATTAGCCAAAAAAAAAAAATGAAACCAATATATTTAAATTCATTGATTTTTTTAATCTCTTCAAATTTAATAAAAATAAAAGTTTCGTCCGGAACTGATATATTGATTTTTTTTTTTGATGTTTTGATTTTAAATGATTGAAAAATAAGAACCAGGAGAATTTTAGTACTTGCCCATATACCTATTTTTTTTCTTTTTTTCTTTTTGCAAATGGTTTTCTATTTTCCTATCAAATAATGGAAATACACGATTCTATATATTCATTTTGATTTTTTCATCACTTTTAGAGATGCAACAATGGACTGCCCATCCTGACATAGTCACGAACCGGGCCGGTATGACCCGTCACTGTTAAAAGCACGGCTCAGTCCATAAATATTGATGGGCTGAGCTGGGCCAACATATATCGGCTCATGAGCCTACCCGGCACTGCCTATGAAAAATCATGGGCCATGCCGGGCTTGGGCAGGGCTAGGCCAACCCGTCTAGGCCCATGATGGGCCGGCCCAGCTCGGCCCGTCTATGCCCAAAATGGGCCGGCCCAACCCAGCTCATCTAGGCCTATAATATCTTCATGTTTTTTTTCTCTTTCTTAGTAATTTTGTCAACATCTTGTGTATAATTATCATGATTGTACTCTTTTTCTTACCAAGGTTTTGTCACACTGAGTTTTCCTTAGAAAGGTTTTTATTTAATGAGGTAATCGTAAATAAAATATCATTTTTTATATTTCCATTGACCATTCAAACTTATATATTTGTTAACTTGTTTAAAAATTAAAAATTATATGCTTAGATGGGTTGGCCCATCTAAACTCATGATGGGTCATGATGGGCCTTGAGTGGGCCAGCTCATTCAAGGCCCATGGCACGGCCCAGCCTAACCCACGTAAAATTAGCTCGTGGTATGGACTGGGCTAAGGTCATTCTTATATGGCCTGGCTCGGCCCGGCCCGCGGCCTGCATGGGCCTAAGGAGAACAGGCCGGCCCGTTCTTGCATCTCTAATCACTTTTGATTCTCGAGTATAAAGCTAATGCTTTTCCGGTTTAGATCCTGATTTTTTTCAACTATTTAAAAAAATAAATAAATTGAGATCTTTGTCCTGTTTTATTATTATTTTTTTTTAAGAATAATTATATTAAACAAAAAACTGATAACAGTCTTCTTGTTACAAAACCACTAAACGCATGCTTGAGGCCCGAAACATAAAACTACCTCAGCATACTACAAACGAGCACACTAAAAGCTTTACAAAAAAAAAAAGACCTCTCCCAAACAAATAAGGCCCTATAGCTCTTGAGGAGCACATCATAAACCTCCACAAAGGAAGGACATTTACGCTGCCTAGAATTAATTTTAGCCAAACTAAGACTACTCTATTAGTGGACATACATAAACAATAAAATAAATGAGAGTCGGGTGTGGAGACTACCCCTTATTACATCACAAGCTTTTATTACAATAGAAAACAACAATAAAACACACAAGACACAAAACTAGAAAGCAATCACCGCCGTGCTCCGCGGACACAGTATTCCTCAACGCTAATCACCCAGGAGTCATCTTTTCACAATGCAAGTCACAACTCAAATTCTATTGATACGATATTTTTTTCATAAAAATTTTAATTAATTCTTTTTACTACAATGATTTTCTCAACTTAAGTAGTAAAACAAACATAGCCAAGAAGTTGATTGAATCTTCATTTGAGCTAGCAAGGCTCATTAGGTTAGCTTAAAACAAGCTCATGACTTTTTAATTTTATGCGAGTCTTCTATCTTCACAATGATTCAAAAATCATTGAATTCTTAAAAATTGAGTGAGTTATGGCCAAAATAGTATTAGGTGCCAAATTGTGAAATGCTGGTAGAGGATACTGATCAACGGTAATGCCTATAACAATAGTTGTTGGAATGTGAACTTAACAACTAGTTTTGAGGTACAGTTGAGTGGCAATTGTACAAATGACCCATAAAATTAAAAATATAAATTGTAACTATTTATGTTCTTGGAAAATTTAAAAATAAATATTCCAAAATTGAAGTCAATTATTTTGTTCTAATAAAAGATAAATGGTATAGTTAGGCCAATAAACTTATAAATAAAGCTTGTAAATATATTACAATTGAATGCTTACTGTAATTGTTCTGTTTATGATGGGCATTACTTTTTTATTTTTTATTTTTATTTTTTTCAATAAAAATGGTAAAAAATTATCAAGTTTCAAATTCGCCCCTCATGTAATTTACTGTTTTATTTCGGTCCATTTTTTGAAAGACGACTGTAGAGGGAGAGACCAGTTTGGTAGTAACCACAATAATCGGAGCGGCCTATTATACATAATTAACATATTAATTAGGGACAAAATAGGATTAAGTGTATAATTTAAAGTCATTTGTGAAATCAAAGCATAAAGTAACAACATAAAAACTGTAACTGTATTAGAAAATTAAAAATGAATTGTTAAAAATTGAATTCAATTATTTTATTCCAATAAAAATAAATTGTTTACTTATTATAATAAAGTTAATTATAGCTTGAATAACTATTATAAAGTAAAAATGAATTATTCTATTCCGACAAAAAAAATAAATAAATTGGTTTCTTACTATAAGAGAGTTAGTAATAAATATGTAGGATAATTATAATGATCATATGAAGACAATAAAGTCGAACTTCTGAGCTTTGAAAAGAAGTTATTATAGCTGGCTCCATTTTCTTTTCCGGCTAAATCATGCTCTTATATTGAATTATGCGGTGGCTATGGTGACTCTTGGGGGTTTCTTTTTTTTTTTTTTTTCAGATGTGCTTTTATTTATTTTCCTTATTTGGCTGCAATGATTGATCTCTAAACTGCAAAATCATCGGCGGGTTGTTCTTTTACAACGAAATTCAGAAAAAATTTTAACTTAAATTACAATTTTATTCAAGTTCATGTTCTTTTGTAAAATTTGAATTTATACTCGAGTTTATGGCTAAACTCGAGTTCAAGTTTTCCTTTCAATTCAAGTTCATAAACTCAAACTCAAGTTAATAAATAGTATTTTTTCTATTCTTAAAAATGCCATAACTTTTTCGTCTTAATTTTGATTTAAATGATTTTTTTATGTGCATTCACAATAAGAAAAGGCAAATAAAATCCCACTCAAACACAAACTTTTTCAACACCATTGAGTTTTTATTAAAATACTATATAAATATAGATTTAAGTTTTGACCTACTCAAACACAAACTCAAAAAGACTCTCAATTCAAATCATAACTCAAATGTGCACATCCAAACACAAACTCAAGTTACAACTTCAACTCGAGTTATAATACTCAAACTCAACTCAAGATCATCACTCAAGTCATCTTAACTCAAAAAAGGCAAAAGAACAACCCAATTTGCTCACACACAATACTTGTATATGGTTAAAACACTTGGCAGCAGCTAGTGGGGCCCACAATCGTAGGCGACTAGGGTATTGCAAGATCGCCAAGTTATGCGACTAAAAAAAAAAGAATATTTAGGCGTTCTATTATGTTGAGTGTCACAATTGATAATTATAAATATGTGAACTTTTTTGTTATTATATGGCGCTAAGCATCATCGCAGCAATAGTCAAAGGAGTTAGGTGACAGTAGGCGCCTAAATACGACACCATGTATGAAAGCAAAGAGCAAGTAACGAGGTATGAATTTGAAATGCTGAAATCTTCTAGGATGCTAATTAAAAGTCGTTGTAACAAAAAAAGAGCCGCCTTAACTATTCATGCCCCTAATAAATCAACCGCTCCTCCTATATCGGATATAGATTAATTATAAATATTGACTATTGGTTTTGGTGGATTAAGATCTACAAGGATAGATTAATAAATATTGACTATTATTGGTTTTGGTGGATTAAAATCTGAACACTTGTGTATTAATTGGAAGCTTCTATTTGGACCCAATCATCAACCCTGTGCCAGCGCTAACTTTTTCCATTTATAATTGATAGCCACTTTAATATCGTAGTTGGAAACTTTTTAATTGGAGTAATTTCTTGCACACTTTTTATGATGTGAGTTTAAATAATGTCTATGTTAATGCGTGGTTTTTTGATACTATCAATACTGATGCAGGAAGAAAGAATATAGAGGAGTTTGATAAAACTATGGTCGGTAATATGAGTTACGACACGATAACACGATTTGAAAACGATACAAATTTCGTAGGTTAGAGTTGAGAAAAAAGAAGTTCGGATCAGAATTAAGTCGACCTAAAATTGACACGAAAAATACGGATCAATTTCGGATTGTAGCTGCCTAACCCGAATGCGACACGAAACTCGTAAAAAAACTAAAAAATACATATATTTTTCATTACATATTTTTTATTTTATTATGAACGTGTGATATCATGATAGTTATACTCAAAATCTTATACTATTATTTGCTTAATTTTAATGGATGTTATTGTATTTTAGTGTGTTATGAATTTTAGGTTATTTTTAATATGTAAAAAAACTAAATAAAAATATACAATTTTCATGTCAATTTTGGGTTCACGAGCCAATTTCGTGTCATGGGTCATTTTTGTATCGTGTTGTGATCGTGTTGCGGTTTTTAAAAAATTTCGTGTCACGAATCGTGTTCGAATTGACTATAAATTTAAGAAAGAACGATCAAAACACGACACGTGACAAGAATTGTCACCCTTAGATAAAACAACTAAAAACACAAGAAATTGGTAAATTAGATTCATGCTCAAAACCCGAATCAGATCCGAAGTAATAAATGCCTCTCTTTGTGATTAATATTTTATTGTACGTATTACGTTTGGTAAAACGTCATTTTATTACCATATAATTTTCCTTCGTTTCAGGTTT